GTGTCAAATCGAGAACTTCTAGTGCACGTTTGTGTGACATGGTGCACTCATCCCATACCAAAAGTTTGCAGCATCTAAGAGCTTTCCCCCACGATCAGAATTTTCCTTATATTACAGGTAACAGCATCACCAGAATTCAACTTGAGAGGTGGTTTGAAAGCTGCTGTACGACCGCCTTCTAGAAGCGTTGACGCAATTCCAGATGACGCAACAGCAAGAGCAATTTGGTCTTTTCTTCTTACGCCTGCCAACAGCCAATTTGTTAGAAAAGTCTTACCAGTACCACCTGGTGCATCCAAGAAAACTATGGTTCCTTTTTGCTGAGCAATTCTGTTTGCAACAAAACAGAACACATCAAGTTGTTCCGGTGAAAGTTCCGGTAAATTTCCTAAAACATGGTTCTGTAGGTCAGTAGTATTGTATGGCATCTCTTTGAGAACTTCTGTATTGACATTGACCTCTTGTTGAGGTGTGGGAAGGCCAAATGAACTCAAATCTCTACCACACATAGTTGAAACTAGAGATGCAATTGCCAGTAACGCATCATTGTAAACTACCTCATTATAAAGTGTACCTGGAACTTCTGTATTGACATTGACCTCTAGTTGAGGTGTGGGAAGGCCAAATGAACTCAAATCTCTACCACACATCGTCGAAACCAGACATATAATTGCCAGTAACACTTCATTGTAAACTACCTCATTATAGAGTGTACCTGGAACTTCTCAATGAAAACACACCAATATGTCTTCAGCCATGTCGTCTTTAAGGGTTTTTCAAAGTTGTAAGGGGTTTGACAGCCCACAGGTGCTCGCCAGGATCACGTTGATGTGGCTCACGTTGACTCACGTTGATACATTGTGGAGAGCGAGTCAGAACAGCATCACGTATTGTGGATTCACAGCAGTCATCACGATCGAGCAAAGAATGGACTTCACACACTTCTCTATATGGATTGTATGTATGGCTTTCAACAGTTCTTGAGTCATCAAAGCAAGTAGGACCACATACACTTTGAAGTACGGTAGCATACGTAAACAGTAGCACTCGAAGTTAACGGCCGTGGTACTCGTCCTAGCGCTTCTGAATACTTTAAATCAGGCTGATTCTCCACTGGAAAGCCAATACCGCAACGCTGGAACTCTTTTCGTGAAGCGTTCCAGGTGTAGTAGTGGGGTACTTCATTGCAAAAAAGGGTCCTAGCAAATTCATCATTAGTACACAGCTCAAAAAATGCAGTAAATTTAGTATCTCTTGGGTTTTGTAAAACGTAATGTAGGCTGTTGTCGTTGAAGTAAACCCTCTGGAAGTTCTCAAAGTGAACACTCGGATAAGTAACAGTGGGATTTCATGAACTAGAAACCCAAAGATACACCATTCTGCCTCATTACAACTCAAGTAACGTCCTGATTGGTAAAGAGTTACCTCATCTCTGGTGCAGCTTCCCTCAACAGCTTGGTCGCTTCCCTTGTTTACATATTTGCATATGTATTTTATGCTCTTCACTGAACTGCAGTACTCCATGTTAATATGGGCGTTGAAAATTTTTGTCAAAACTGGGTTGTATGGTACAATCCAACAGTTGTCAATATCCACAGATCCTCATCCTGATACATTTATTTGAGAATAATGTCCACCGTAATTTGTTGATCACTTTCTGTACAAAGGGTACCCATTATAGCTATATCTCAGTCATAATCTATCTGGGATATATCTTTGTACACTTTCCATCACTATTTGACCAAGATCATTAGAGCATGCTGTTTCATTGTTGGTATTTCAATTCTAGCACACATGTCTACAATAAACCGACTAAACCGTTATCTGTAGTGAATGATTGGGTTGAAGTGGTTTTGACAAACCATTATGACACATAAAACTGTATTGCAGTCGCTTTTTAGTTGTAGGATGCTTGGTTGTGGGATTACTCTGTTGAATGTTGAAATGGTAGCTTTCCTGATCACTCTAAAACATGGAAGGTATTGCAAAACATCATAGAAGCAATGAGTTTCAGATACTCTAACCAAAAGTGTCATCTCTTTGGCACAGCACAATATCTCGTGAGTGAAACTTATTGCCAACAATGACCACTGCCACTTCATCAACAGTCGAAGCGTCGAATCATCACTCATGCTCCCCAGCTGGACAGCAGTCAGCACGCATAATGGCTTTAAAACCATCTGACGGCCACTGATCTAATGCGGTTTTAAAGGACGCAATTAAAATATTGTTGCCATAAAAAATGCGTTGAAGGCTTTGTACTATGTTTTAGGATGTTGTCACAGCACCTTATAGCCTCAGCTTGTCGACCACCAATGAAGAATATTTGTAGGAAGCCATGAGGCTGATCGGGTTGTGGGAGTAATAAGCCAATTCTATGTTATATTTGCCCCTGCACAGTGAACGTTGTGGGATAGTCATGTTATACAACTTGGCCAAAAGTACCAAATGAGGTCATTTGGAAGCATGAGTTATATTTCCAAATTTAGTATAAAAACACCTGGATTCTGCTGTTTCTCCAACGACAAGGGTCTTTAGTGGCTCAATTGGCTCAGCAGGTAAAGTAAGCCTTACTTTTCCATTTGAACAACACATCCCTATTAGCTCCCATTTTACTGTATCACAATATCTACATGTTTGGCTCATTCTGCCTATACAAAAAAACTGTGATTGATATAATCAATGAACGGATCTTATCGAAAAACTATACCATTAAATAGGCTCCACATCATACTCATGAAGTCTTATCTCCGTCGTTGTCTTTCCTGTATAATAACAGGAGTTTCCTCTTGTGCTTGTGCAGCTCTTTGTAAAGTCGTTCTGTTACTGTTGGCCACCACCCCAGCCTGATGCTGTTCATCAGACATTTAAGCGGCTCTTTGTGATGCAATTCAACTATTGGTACTCTTCAGGTGTTTCAGCAGTTCTATGTGACGCAGTTCTACTTGTGTTGGCTGGTACTAGAATGTTACGTTCATCAGATGTCTCTGAGGTTCTATGTGAGGTGTGCCTGCAGCTAAAAGCCTAACGTGGCGTTCATTGGGGGTTTCAGATTCTCTATGGGAGGCATGTCTGATCGAATCAGCTAAAAGCCCGGCCTGGTGTTCCTCTGCAGTCTCTGAAGCTCGAGTATGGCTCGTTGCCCTAGCTCTAACTGATTTTTATGACAAATTACTTTACCTAGAAGCCAAGGAGTTGCACAGGCCGGTTATTAAAAAGTTCATTAAACGCCGAATAGTCACCAAGGGTATCGACGATTTGTGGGCTGCAGATTTACTAATAATGAAGCAGTACGCTAGGGAGAACAAGTGGTACAAGTACATTTTAAATGTCATAGATACATTTAGCAAATTCGTTTGGTCCGAACCTTTAAAGAAAAAAGACGGGGCAGAGTTGACAACGGCTTTCGAGAAGATTATAAAAAGAGCAAACAGTGATGGTCATGAAGCACCGAAGCTTTTACATACCGACAAAGGTACAGAGTTTAAAAACAAACCGTTCAACAACATGTTGAGGAGGCATAATATCAAACTATACCATACAGAGAGTGAAGAGAAGTCCGCAATAATTGAAAGATATCATAGGACACTGAATGAGAAACTTAAAGTGAAATTCCATGTCCGACAATCCCACAAGTGGTACGATATACTACAAGAAGTCACAGATGAGTATAACCAACACGATTATCACCACACTATTAAAATGAGACCAGTTGAGGTCAACAAAGATAACGAGGCTGATCTATTAAAAATGTACATTGAGCGCGAACACAAAGTTCGTAAAAACAGCAAGTTCGACCTCGGTGATAGAGTTCGTATCACGACGAAAAAAGACGTGTTTGCGAATAAATATAAACAAAACTGGACTTCGGAGATATTTACAATAGCACGAATTCTAAACACTAGACCGGTTACTTATAGGATCGCCGATCAAAATGGCGAGGAAATTATAGGCGGATTCTATGAAAAAGAACTGCAGAAGACTGCTCTCTGAATTTCTGAGGGTGCCTCGAGTCTTAGTCCAGACATTCAAGTCCAAAGACTGAACCCGCTCTGGGGGGCTATTCAAGTCCAAGGAATGAACAAGCTCTAGAAGGTTATTCAAGTCCAAAGACTGAACCCGCTCTGGGGGGCTATTCAAGTCCAAGGAATAAACCAGCTCTAGAAGGTTATTCGAGTCCAAAAAATGAACCCGCTCTGGGGGGATATCACCCTCACCCTGCGCTCGAACAGACCTTTACATAACTACTGGTAAGACCTAGGCCCGGGACCGATTTACTTTTTTATTTTTATGTCCCCAGAGGCCAAAAACACCCTTCGTTCAAAATTGTATATATCTATATATATATGTGTCCGTCCGGACGATAACTTGAGTTATTTTTGTCCGCTTTTTATAAAATTTGGTTTGAAGGTGTAATGCGGAATAAACTTGAATGAGTTCGGGAACCAGCATGATCGGACCATGGGAACGGAGTTTAACGGGGGGTTTTATGGGGTAAAATGGGGTTTTCTCATTTTTTACCCTTAAAACACACAATTTATCAATTTTTATCCAGACCTTTTATAGAGCTTAAAAAAACAAATCAAAAGTGTTTTTGTACGGTGATTGGTTACGGAGAAAATTAAAAAAATTTTTAATTTAAAATTCCCATGTTATTCTTATAGAGAATATTTTAAAATGTTGAAGTTGGCTTATTTATGGATTTATTTTGATCAAACTTGGCGGATTTATTTATTTTATACTAAGCTATTGATATTTAATAAAAAAACACACTTTATTAGTTTCCCTGTTGCAGCTAATCTAGGCACTCGTTAAACATAAATGTTAATTTAATAGATTAATTGAAAATCAATCCAGGCAGATAGAAATTTGCTTGGTCGGCAGGTATTTATCCTAGAAAGAAATAACTTACATAAAATTTGATTCACATAGGTATTCCATGTTTAGGACCAATCAGTTTCTGAGTGATTTCACAAACTTAACAAAATTGTTTGCTTTAGGTTCGCATTCCACGGCTGGTTAGATTACACTCAAATCAAATGGAAGACGTAAATGAAGTGTATGCTGGTGACATATTTGCTGTGTTTGGAGTAGACTGTGCTAGCGGAGACAGCTTTGTGACTGATCCAAAACTGCAACTTACAATGGTATGATTCAATATAGTTATTTTTTAAACATTTATATTATGAATCTTTCTAATCTGAAATAGATAGAAAAAATTACAAGGGTAATTTTATTTTAAGTAATTACACTGTACAAATTAGTGTTATTTAACTAACTAATAACTCTGAAACTACCTTGTGAATGTCCTACTTATAGCTATATGGGCTATTAATCAACAGTCCTGTCTAAGGAACATGTCGACCTTAGTCAGTGACAAGACTACAAGATCGCGCCTCTCATTCTACAGTACACTCTATCTCTATTCATACAGGGCTTAAAATACCTACCTTCGTATGGTCGTCATTTCAGTTAAAAGTATTAACACGTTCGCTGCTACGGACGTTCCGGAACGTAAAACGGGCCACGGCGCCAGGAGCTAGGAACGTTCTGGAACGTCGCCATTCATTGATGTTTAACGTTACCATGGATCAGCCAGCTCTTCACGAGCGCCCTATATTTCTTTGCAGCTCGTGGGGACGTACTTTTCTGACAATAAAAAATATAGGTAGTTTCCAAAAATCACCACCAGGGTCGTTTAGAACAGGGGTATGTCCCACCTCTTTCCTGCTAGATAGCGACACTACTTTACCGACTGCAACCTGGGTAGTGCTGCTATCTATCAGAATCACTTAGTACTATGTCCATAGCCAGTTTTATTGCAGAACATTGCCATCCAGTACAACTACTGTTGTTTTTACAGTAATTCAGTGTACCGGCAGCAATGTTTACGCAGCGGCGAGCGTTAGTTCAGCTCCTGGTGCCGTCCCGGCATCTAGCGGTCAGCAGCGAACGTGTTAAAGTGCTTATGTGTGCTATATTAGGTACCTTTTATTATTACCATCCCACCTGTCTAGATAACTCTGAAAGTGTTGAAGTTGGTATAGTATTCACACTGGTGGTAGGATACTCTTTTTACTGACATTTGAATTTATGAATATTAACCAACTTAAACATTGTTTTCTCAACTGCAGGAGTCCATTTTTGTGCCTGATCCGGTAATATCAATGTCGATCAACCCAGTTAACTCCAAAGACCGAGACAACTTTGCCAAGGCTGTCCAGAGGTTTACAAAGGAAGATCCGACGTTCCAGTACGCTTACGACCCTGATGTAAAGGAGACACTAGTATCTGGGATGGGCGAGTTGCATTTGGAGATTTATGCTCAGGTAAGTTGATCAAGAAATACTTCAATTAATTTTTTGAAAGCTAATCGATTTACTTGTGTAGCATGATTATTTGACTTGTTCATGTATCAATCACTATGAGGTACATCTGATTGTTTTCAATCCATTTTTTAGAGGATGGAGCGAGAGTACAACTGTCCCGTCGTGTTGGGTAAGCCGAAGGTAGCGTTCAGAGAAACATTGGTCGCCCCATTCAAGTTTGACTACTTTCACAAGAAGCAACATGGTGGCCAGGGACAGTACGCAAGGGTGATCGGCATACTGGAGGTGAGCATCAGGGCTACAGTCCTAAAGGCTAATTAATTTGAAGTAATCTCTTTAGAAACAACAATTATTTACTCTATGCAATTAATTGATCTTAAGCTTATATCAGGTTGGTTGTTGTACGATACCCTTTTAATGTAGAGTAGAAACGTGAATACTGATTACATAATTAATTGTTTTGAGAAACCCTTTCACAATTCATAATTAAATACTTTTATTTAACAACATTTGAATGCTCTGTTACTAAATTTTCAAAGAGTGTTATTTTTTCATGAGTGTTTTTTTTTCAGCTATGTTGATCTCTTTTCTCACATTTCTTATCTTTGAAGAAATCCTGCACTATCCACCTCACAACCTCCGGCTTGAACAGCTCGCTTGAAAATCTTCTCGCCATTGCTATTTCCCTAGGCGATTTCCTATCCAGGGTATAGGGAGTTGTCCTGTTGATCCGCCTAACGGAATATTCCCTGGGAAGTGGGTGTTCAGGAGGACTTCATGGGTTTCTTCCATACCCGCTGTATGTTTCCCGTCCTCCCGTATTAATGAGTCCAGAGGATTTGGCACCTCTCTTTGTAGCGCTTTTTGCAATCTAGCTGCTTTTGGAAGGTTTTTTTTATCCCCTCACAGAACTGCCTCCAGGTTATCCTTTTACTTTTTCTTATCTCTGAGTTATACTCCGTTAGGGCTCTTGAGTAGTTAGCCCATTCCCTTGTTCTTTTTGTGGTGTTGAAGAGTTTCCGGAGTTTAAACCTCATCTTACTTAACCTCTCGTTCCTTAGTGAAACTCCTTAGCCAACTGAACTACCATGCCACTGTCAGCTGAACGGTTCAATTACACAACGACACTAGTGTTCTTAGGTTAGATTTGACATACTACTTGAGATCCAGTGGGCTAAAAGCACGACTATCTTGCGCTGAAATGATGTAACGGGCTACAGACTTAGGTCGTTGTCAATGGGTTAACTACTACTTCTTAAAAGTCCCTACTCCTTAATCAGTCATCTGGCTTCCCATTAAAATACAACTTTTAATTTGTAATGTAAATGAAGAAAGGTAAACAAATATAAATTTAATATGCTTCTGACTTGTGTTACAGCCACTCCCTCCTCACCAGAACACTGTTATCGAGTTCAAAGACGAAACCAGTGGACCAAACCTACCTAAAGTCTACGTGCCATCTGTGAAGAAAGGATTTGAATTCATGTGTCAAAAAGGTTTGTTAATTGTTACCCATTACTTTATGTCTTGAAATCAGATGTGACTAAAGTTGTCCCATGATAATTGTCATGAGGGGCTGGTAGGGTGTCAGATTACGAAAAATGTCAGATTTTCAAGATAGGGTTTTCCTTATGCATTTGGAACAGAATAAAAGCACGTTGAAGTCAACAAGAAGTACCAAACAGTACATGTAATTTATTAAAAATAGATTACCCAATGATATGCAATGTACATGCAGTATAATGCAGGGAAGTGGGATTGAATCCCACTTCCCTGCAGGCTTGGTTGATAACACTGATAAGTGACTGTTGGCAGCGTGTCAGACTACGTAGTCTGTAGGCTTACAAAGAGTCTGAATATCAAGGGACAACTGTATTTTATTCATAATTTGCCTCCAGGATTGATTAATTGACAAAAATAAGGTTACTAACCTGTGGTTAATCAATCCTATATCGTGGATGATTATTTTCGGGGCTAAAACCCCGTTGTCAAATCCTTTTCTCATCAATTGTCAAACATAATCTTGCACTTGCCGTTGTCAAAATTACTCCATATACAAACACGCAAAGAAACAAAAATTTTCAAAAATATACAAACGCTTGAGGCCGGCCAAGGTCAAAACTAGACTGCCAAACAATTTACGAGAAAAGTATTTGGAAATGGGGTTTTAACCTCATAACTAGTCATCCTTGACAAAATATAAGATTGATTGATGACATGTTCATGTTAGTAACCTATTTATTTTTATTTTAGTTGCTTAATTTTTAGGAAACTGTTGAATTTGATTCATGATTGATTAGGTATCAATATCATAGTCATTATTAATTTTTTTAAAGTTTTTTTTTTTAAGTTACAGTTATAAATACAACAACAAACAACAGCATTCTTGAGGATAGTGCATATTTTTTCAGACATATCAAAAAGTATATAGCCTATTCTAAAAAACTGGCAAGGGTTTCAAAACTACACGTTGATTATAAAATCCTAAAACTTTATAGAAATTGCCAAAAAATAGGGTTAGAGTTTTCCAGGGACGAACATTTATTGGTATTTAGCATCTTTCAGGAGTAAACGAATAAAACTTGTAGCTGAAGCCAACAAAGGTAAGTTGATGTGCATTTGAGTTTGATGATGCTACTGATATTTCCAGGCTGGCTGTCTGGCAACAAGTTGGCTGGTTTAAGGATGAGACTACAAGACGGAGCTCATCACTCTGTTGACTCCAGTGACTTAGCCTTCAACTTGGCTACACAAGGAGCTCTCAGGCAAGGTAAAGTACTCAGTGTGTAGACAAACTATTTATATGTTTGATAGTTCTAATATTAAATGCTACTGTGATTAGTAAAATAATTTATTTTGACAAAAAAAATCCCTCTTTTTTTAAACGGTTCAAATATAAAGAAAAAACAATTTAACCGTTTTACTTTGCAGCGTTTGAGGAGGCTACATGGCAAATTCTAGAGCCCATCATGATGGTGGAGGTTAATGCCCCCACAGAGTTCCAGGGCTCTGTTATCTCTCTTATCAACAAAAGGAGTGGAATCATGCTTGACCAAGAAGGTGTTCTGGATTGGTTCTCTATTTATGCTGAGGTTAGTTGTGAATACACTTATAAATACAATTTTAATATATCCTGTTTTTATTTACTTTAGTAGACATTCAAACCAAGATAATTTGTTGGAAAAGTGTAATAAATGATTAACGATGCAAACTTACACATTAAGAAGAGTTCATTTTTGAGTTTTCAAGCTCTAAACAATTTCCAGATCACAAGTGGTTAACATGACAACCAAGATAGAATTGCAAACGTTTTGTCTATGAAGAGTCCCAAAAATGTTAAATGATAATTGGAAAAGGGGACTTGCAGCGCTGACTGGCAAAGGTGGTGTGTCTAGTGCAGTGCTGCCCCATCAACTTTTTAAATTTATATTTTCTTTGTTTAGGTACCTCTTAACAACATGTTTGGGTTTGTGGGAGAGCTACGGTCTATTACCCAAGGAAAGGGCGAGTTCAGCATGGAATACTCCAGGTATTCCCCAGCCAGTGTTGAGGTCCAGGACAAGATAATACAGGCACACCAGGAGAGCATGGGAATAAGTCCTGTTCAGGAGAAGAAGCGAAAGAACTAATTGTACTTTGTTACCAAATGTGTATATATTATGGAACTGTATATAAATGTAAATAGGCTACATTAAATTTGTTGTACAGATTGCTTTGTTTCTCAACATTGAATATTCCTACTTGTTATCCATATCTTGCAGGGGCGGGCTGAATCCACAAATCGCTATAATTGTGCACCGCAATAAGTTGTTTTATTGATAGACCTTAAGAGCCAAGTACCTGATAAATGCATGTAGTGTGCCAAACAATTCATCCTCGGGAAAATGACTCCCTTACAAGATTTCTAAGTGTTGTCCTTCATATCTCAGAGAGCTCCTCGCAGTCAAAGAATACTGAATAGGTGATCAGCTTTTTCCTCTGACCTACCACATTTCCTACAAAGTGGTGAGCCATCATGAAAACCCATACGATGCAGATGTTTTCTAAACCGACCATGTCGGGTAATCAGTTCTACTGTTAGTCTAATTCTTCGCCTATCCTGCCTTCGGACATTTTGAGACCGGATAAGCGAAGAATTAGACTAACAGAAGAATTGATTATAATACAACAATAGAACTTGGACGGTTCAGAACACATCTATTCCTACCGATTTTTCAAATAATTGCGACACCTGAGAATATTTTACAAAACAATGTCTTTTTATCATTACTAGCAGAGTACCCATCCTTCGTACAGGGTTGGCGTGTAATTAGTATGAAATGCTTATTGCAGTTATACTCGTGATTTGCGTTTGCAATGGGAGAGGACACGGTTTGTGAAAAGGTAATTCTTTTAATTTACAATATGCTATAGTATAAACATCTACCATAGCCATAACGTTCTACCCACTGCAACTAAACAATAGACAAAATTAAAGTTCTCGCAGATTTTTGTTGCTGCTTGGTTCAAATTAGCTGTTGTCGTAAATGCAAAAAGAATTAATAGTGCTGCACCCGGTTGGCAAACCTATTAACCTTTTAATGCTCTTGAATATCAGAACCAACTTGTGTAGTTGTAACAGCTGGCAAAATTCTTTAATTCCTTTTAAATATGAACAAGAGGTTCTACCCGCGAACTCACGGGTGTACATAGCAGCCACCATTAAGTTAATTAAATCAATTTTGATTTTATATTTCATATTTAATGAGCCCAAGTTTGAGAAATTCAGAAGGAATGTTAAAAGCAGCAGGACCTTCATACATGTGACTGAAGTGGTCGAGGTGAGTCGGCCTACGGTTGTACCTGAACTCGTCGCCCTCTTTCACGAGGTCCTGTTACAGATCGGTGACAGCCTCTTGGACGACCAACACACATGTATTGTTCATCTCATTTGCATTGTCTTTTCAACACTCTAAAGCACTCACTTGTATCAAACAGCTAGAAATAGCATAAGTGTTCATTTACCTCTTTTAAGGAAATAAAAGTAAATAATAATATAAGTAAACAAAAAAACTAATAATGTCAATTGCATTGGCCAGCTGTTGTTCACTAAATTAATCAAATAATGTTAACTTCTAAAACGTGTAAGGCCCTTTGGAAATCGGCCTCTGGGGTAAGAGCCTAAGTTTATACCAATACCTTTCGGCAAATCTACACACACTGAGCTTCATTTTGATGTGCATTATGCCTATAATTTTATATGGTTAATGACCTTAACCATTTACATAAAATTTTATTGTATCACTTTAATAATAACAAGCTGCTATACCCGTGCTTTGCAACGGGAAGAAAATGTGACCTAGAGAGCTATTGAAGTGGTGCTGATGTGTGTTTTAAAATACAGCAACTCTAAGATTTAGTTTGAAAATATAAACTGATTTAAAAGCGTAAACCTACTTACTTTCAAACCCCTAATTTTGATGTTAATAGATCCATAAAAATATGACAACATACCTTAGTGTAGCAATAGCGTCAATTGCTTCATATTGATGCTTCATGAATGACATGTTTTACCATAATTCTTCGATTTTAGTCAAGCCTCTTCACATGTAGCTTACTACATAAATTAAGAAATGAAACTTTGAGCAATACTTTACAAAACACAAAAACCAGCTGTTTCATTAACTAAATTAAATTAAATCATTTAAACATTGTAAGCATGCCAGGCGTAGCCCTTTGCAAATCAGCCTGTGGGGCAGAGCCCTTGGGAAATTCGTCAATATCAATACTTTTTGGCAAATCTACACACTCTCAGCTTCATTTTGATGTGCCATATGCCTATATTTTTATTTGGTAAATGACCTTAACCGTTTACATAAAACTTGATTGTATCACTTTAATAATCTATATAAATAAAATTAGAGTTTTGTCTGTACATTGCTCAGAATTATATATTTTTAGGTTATTTTTACGTTTTATACATTAAAGAAACAGAAGCAAGTCTGTTCTCTATTTCTGTCTGTCTGTCTGTCTTTCTGTAACACTCAAGATGGCATTTTACGCAATCTTCTCCATGAAAACGAGAGTACCTATCAAGATCCAAGTCATTTTAATGTATTCACTGGATTGGCGAGAGTGTCTTTAGCCATTAAAACATGGCCTCACTACTTTGTAAATAAAATTACGGACGTTCAAAAATGCGGTTTTGTGCAATTTTTACCAAGTTTTCGGTAAATTTTTATCACATAATCATCTATGAAATAACGAACAGCTGTTCGGATCAAGATTATTTTTTCTAGCTGTCACTGATATGTTTACAAATGTTGTTTACAAATACCGCAATCATTTCCGATCTTGTTTTGAAAGCAAATCCCAAACAAAGTGAGATTAAAAACATTTTTCTTACATAACGGATTTAATTAATCGCAAGTGTAATATTATAGTGTAACCGTAAATGAAATTAAATAACTAGGCATCATCCAGGTCAGGAACCAGAGATTATTTGTGTATGAAATTGTTCTTGAGTTTTGATAACCAGAAAGAAGACCTTGAATCAGTGTTGTATAGGACTGGGACACTTATAATGATCGTCGCCAATAGCTTACAAACAAGGTTTCCACTCACTGACGGCGCTTCAATGGCGATTGTGTAAAGTAAAAAAGTACAACTGTACAACGAGTAAAAAAATTACAACTGCAGTGGGTGATTGTAAGTAATATAGGTATACAGATGATGCTAAACTCGCTTTTCCAATGTGTCACTTTCTGTTTCTACTCACCGTGTGATGCAATCGCTGGACCATACAGCCAATAGGCTCATAGCCCATCTCTTGGGTACGTACGCCTACCTACTTATTAATATCAACCTTTTCGATGACGATCCTTGATACCTTTACTTTTCCATGGAATCCATGGCCTACCTACTTGAGAAATAAAGTTACATATGTCCAAAAACCCAACACATTTTGTGATTTTTGTCACATTCAACTGACTAAGATCCCCGTGCGTAGAACAGGCATACAGCTAGTATAATAGATAATAGAAACAGATACTGATAGGGTTAACATGGGAAACTCTACACTGTTTGTACAACATAGATTTCTAACTTACTACCCATGTCTTCTTTTATCCCTCAAATATTGTTGAACAAATTAAGGATTTTACTCTTGAATGGTAAATGTTCCCATGTACAAACAACGATAAAATAACTCATGTATCTAATATTAAATGGTTACAATGTAATGTGATGAATAGTGTTAATAATTGTTGATACCGTAGTAGGAAATAAAAATAGGGTAAATAAAAGTTTAGCATGGATATTAATAGTGTAATTAAAAAAACACAAATTATATACATACAATATTGTATTCATTAAACATTTTTACAATGTAGACCATTTTGATATCATGTTCTTTTAGAGGGCTTCCAACACAAAACAGTAAAGACTATTATCATTAGATGATTTTGACAAATATTTTCACTTTTAATTTTTTATAAATATGAATTTTTATGACATCAAAAACAAAATCTCTATGAAAATTGTGCTTTCATGGCAAAAAAATAATAATTGTGTTTATATTAATTAAAAACTGTTTTGCTTAACAACTAGAGGAAACTATTCCCCTTTTATTCACTCACAGCTACAAACAACTGATAAAACATTCTTTCTACAAGCTAATTCTACCAGATAGTCAGATGATGTTTTCTTATTGACTAGTAAGAACCCAGCCTATTCCACCAAGGCCCCACTAGAAAAAACAGGCCATGCTGCAGGATCCATGACGTCACACTTGTGGATAGATTCACTGCCATATCCCATTTTTTTTAGGCAAATAAGCTGGCTGTTTGTCAGACTTAATGGTATTACATCTGGCAACTTTAGTACAACTATCCACCACTGTGACATAGTGCTGCGCTGCCCGCGCTGCAGCATAGCCTTTTTTCTAATGGGGCCTTAATTCCACTCTATATTATACGTTATCAAACATTACTAAAGATATTTTAAATGGTATATCTCACAACTAACACACGCTATATTGTCCTTGGGTCAATTGTTTTGGAAACTGACTGTTTCAAATACTGTTGTTTTCAGTTGACGGTGTAAAGGGAGTAGAAACATTGTTGGATTACCTGGTAAAACCATTAACTTATTCAATTTTTTTACTGTTCACTTTTATAAAATTACTTGTTTTTTGCAAAACATTATTGTAATTTACATGTGAGTTCCATCTGTATTTATCTTTTGTTATTTACATTGATTAGTATCAATTTGGAAGGATACTTTTTAAATGCTTCTTCATTTGTGAAGCTAGTTATGAGGCAAAAATATTACCAGCATAATGATTTCTATAGTCTGTTAAAATTAAAATAAATCACAATTTCAATCTATATTATTAAAATACTTGTTAGACAAAAATAATAACCCTCAATTGACCAAAACTATTTATTAACTTTTTGGACAGTTTTTAAATGCAATTCCACTAATGTTAGTATTACCACACAGTATTTACTAAATACATCTATTACACATACAATAAATAGTACAGCTATGGATAAATAATACGGCTTTAGTTGACGATCTAATAAAAACAATTAGCTGCAAAAGTAAAATTTTTTTGCCTAAAACACCTGATTCGTTGCTACTAAATAAAGTACTTTATTACTATTAACTATAAAATATCTTAAGTGAGCTATCAAGGAATGTAAAATATAATAAAATAATCAGTCAATTGCCTAACTTTATAATAGGATACACTGAGAATCTTCTATAACAGTGAACACGACATACTATCAGCTGTGGCAACAAACATACACTCTCAAACAACTTCTGTACACTAGAGTAGCATCTCAACTATATAGACAGTGATATGCAACCTTAACTTATTACCCTCCTAGTTAAGTGATGTCGGTAAAATATTGGCAAATACTTTTTATTTGAAACCATTGAAACTTGTATGTGCAGAAAATTACTAGCCTAACAGTGTAAGGGGTAAGAAATAGGAAGAACTGGGAATAGGAAAGTGCAAATATTAAACTAGTGTATTAGAGACGTGATTGTTTTATCACTATTCAAGGGATATACGTTGTCAAAATAAAATCTGTTATTAGAGCTGAAGGAAGCATCTTTGACCAGGATAATCAGATATGTTTTTTTTTTTTGGGGGGGGGGGATTGATATTGCCTAGATTACAAGAAACTACCGCTGTATCAACCAGCCAGTTTACTATAATTTTGCAATTTTAGAAACATCAATTCTTCGTATTGTTTTTTAGAATCTCCTCATCTCCACGCTCATTGCAAATATACAAACTTTGCTAATAAGTACCGATATCACTTATATACAATGACTATACAATTTTTAGAGCGACAATCATAGCACGGCTAAAACTATAATCACCAGGACTAACAATTTCATTGGGTAACATGAAAGACAACCTAATTACACGACTGTCTTAGACAGTCTAACAAAAAATATATTTATTCATCGAAATTCAACTATTAACAACTGAAGACACGAGTTTACCCCTAAGGTCGGAGGGTAGGCCACAGCTGAGGAGGGAGGGGGTAAAGAAGGGGGGTCACACAGGGGGCACCTTGGCAGGTTGGCTGACTCCGATAGGCTGCGCGTTGTCTACAAGTTGGGATGCATTCTGTCTCATCTCCTCTGGTGATGCCCTACAACAACACTTAGCTTATCATCTCAGCATAAAATATTAGAAGCCTTCACAACTAGGTGTCATCACTAATCAAAAGTCAGGATGATAAGGTATAACGGTTTCATTTCAACGTAGAGCATAATTTTAAGTTGCGTTTTCAAATTTGAGCTACAAGAATTAAACGGGCACAACCCAAGCAGTTAAACACCTTAAACATAGTTAAGCATGATTGTTAAAAGTAATACTGCGTGCCTCTATCAAGCTTAATTATATTATCTAGCTCCACATAAGAAAGTGCTCAGTTGCCAGCAATTCCTTTGAAATTTTGATGTTTTAATCCTAGAATACATATCTTTACAATAATGAACTCCACTCAAAATAGACAAGCTATATTGGAATGCAATAGTGTTAATAGTGGAGGACATGAAACCCTCATGGTGGTATCTACTTAAGCCTTAGCAGTAAATTAAACTGAAATAACAACTTGTCTTTACTTTACAAGGGGGAAAGTTTTGGGTTAAATTAGTTGTTACCCACAGAATAAATCTAAATATATTTTTGATGAGTATGTTTGGTTTTAGTGAAAGTAAACGAATAAATGTTTGCAGATTTTCATTACATTGGTCATATTTGGTAGAGATCAGCAAAATGAATCACTAATATATGAAAAAAAAAACTTTAAAAATTGCATTATACACAAAAAATTATATTAAATCACTTTCTACCTTATCGTAAAAGCTCAAATTTCAAAACAAATGTATTACATCAACAGTGTTCAAGAAAGTGTACTTTGAAATTTATTGTTGTTTGACTATTCAATGCTAATACTACTATGATGTAAAGTAAGAAAATAATTAATGTGATTTTATTATTTCATCAATCACACTTTCACTGAAAGCCTAGGGCAAAAGTGATAAAAGTGAAACTCATTAGACCTTATTTCCTATTGCAAAATATGTTCAAAACGAGGAAATTTAATAAACACTTTTACGTGAATATGGGATGTTGTGTTATACAGATTACTTATTCAAGCAATTATGGTAATGTTAGGTTGAGATGTCTAACCTAACCCACAACATCTAGAATAGATTGGATTGAGAAAATTTTATTGGCACACTGGTTAACGTAGCAAAATACGGAAAATAACCAGCTGATGAAACTAGATCTTTACCTTATCTGGACCTGGACACAACAAGTAATCTGTCATAATAATATTAATATATTATTATTCTAAAAAGAATTTGAAGTGGCTCTGCCTAACCTAATTAATAAATGATGATGTTTTTGGTTAAGATGGCTTTATCCTTAAATTAATAAATTACCTACTTGATACAAGGACAGTCATCCCCGTTTCTACCTTCTACTCCTCAATTCATTGTAGCAACATTTTCTCATGTATTTATGTAGTATCAATTATTCATAAATTGGATGTTGGTATACCATGCAGAATGCAAATATGACATGAACATGCATCGGTTCTCGTAATGAGGTGTTTTTTTATTAAAATGTTGATAGCTTAGTACAAAATAAAAATAAAATGGCAAATTGCATTAAAAATATATCCATAAACTACAACAGTGAACAGTTTATATTCACCATAAGAATAAAATGGAGATTTTTAATCAAAACTTTTTTTAATTTCCTCCATAAACGTTAGGCATACAATAACGCTTCAATGTACTAAATTATTTCTCAAAATTCATGTTTCTGGCCCCTGGCCAAATTATTAAGACAATAAAAGGTTTTTACGTACCTCTGTCAAATAGTCAAATGATAAAGATTGCTCAGTAGCTTACATGTTTCGTTGTAAAGACAACATTCTCAAAGCTTGCAACTCACCAAGAACACAATTAAAACAAATGCGACCAACCCGGTGCTGGGCTAAATCAGTTCCATGATGGCGCTATTTAAATGTTTGTGTATACATACCGATTTTATGTTTTTTTTATGTTTGTGTCGTATTTGTTTTAATCGTGTTCTTGATGAGTTGCAAGCTTTGAGAATGTTGTCTCGCAACGAAACATGTAAGCTACTGAGCAATCTTTATCATTGGACTATTTGACGGAGGTACTGAAAAACTTATTATCGTCTTAAATTATTTCTTTTTTTAAGGTCAACAAAATGTTTTGGAAATATCAAAATTTTATGTTTCAGTTTCAAAAATGGGAAAAACCAATTTTTACCTCATAAAACCCCCCTTAAACCCCCGTTTCCATAGTTTGATCATGCTGGTTCGCGAACTCGTTCAATGTAGGTTTACACGTTTGTACACAATTTTATTAAAATCTGATTATTTTTGCTCGAGCTATCGCGCTAACGGACACATACAGAGTGAAAAAAAGACCTGGGACAGGTAAATATTTCAGAAATGATAAAGATACAGCGACAAAACTTGGCCCAAAGTTACTGGGCATTAACACCATTTTAATTTTTTATAATTCAGTGATATGATACCTCCTCAGAGAAACTCAGGGGAACTTCGGCCCGCTATGAGTCAGAAGTAAATCTTAAATGTAAGCCAGATTAATGTGAAGGTCAAATTAAAGGCCTTTATTGGTAAAATACAATGCTGCAAACCGGATCTCAAACTGACAACTGAGTAAAAATTTACAGCTATAAAGATTCCTTGAATTTGCTATGTTATTAGGCCTAGATAGAGACGCTACCTCCTCAGGGGTTCTAAAGGTCGGAAGAAAATCATCAATTTACAGTGCGTTCAAACAGCCGTGGCACCTGACGGATTAGGAGACCCCATGGAGTAAAAAAATGACCCCTTGGGGTCTCCTAATCCCTCAGGTGCCACGGCTGTTTGAACGTGCATTGTAAGAATAGATATGCAGACCAAATTAAATATCTTTATTAGTAAGATACAATGTCACAAGCTTAAGATAAAAATAACAACTGACTAAAAAATGGCAGCCGTTAAAAGATTCAAAATTTGGCAGATTCAAGAAATTTTTGAACGGTAGCCATTTTTGACTAGGTTGTCCTTTAAGTTCAAATTTGCGGCAATTTATTCTACTGTAAAGACCTTTAATTTTATTCCCCTTTGATTTGAACTCCTAACAGAGCCCCTGAGGGGTGGTGTATTATTGAATAATGGGTAAAAATAATTTTAATGACCAGTAAATTAGTACCAAAATTTGTAGCTCCATCTTGATTAATTTTTGAAATATTTAACTGTCCAGGGACTTTTCTTCCACCCTGTATACATTCTTAAATAAATAAATATAAAAGGCAAACACCACTGACTGGCAGATGATCACTATATATCTTAAAACAAATACTACCTAGGATTATCAAATTTGGTATAGGTCCCTTTATGGTGTAGATAACTAGATATACAACAAGACGGGGTTTAAAAAAATTGTAAATTTAAGGGGGGTTTGGGGAGGAGGGTTAAAGTGGTTTCTGGTGAAATTATATAATGTAAGCTTTTATATTTTGGTATACAAGCTGAAACAACGCTTGGATCTTAAATCTGATGAAATAGTATATTACGTTAATAGTCCTGAAAATAGGTGTTTACCGGACGAGTCTGGTCGTTCACACATTTTTTTCGTGAACACATTTTGGACGAGTGACGTACAGTATTTTACGCCATATCACTAAATCCGTATAAATCCTTATATATTACCACCGACTAAAGGGCTAACAATCACTAGTCATAACCTCTAAGACTATAATCAGCTGGTTGGTGTCCGGTAAAACTCATTACAGTACAGTAGTACGTAATGAAACCCCATTTGATTAAGCTGACGGCAAACAGCTGTTTTCTGGATTAAATCCTTGTGTGGGAAGTTCGTCAAAACTGTGTAGTGTGGCATAAAATCTTTTGTGTAGAATTCAATTATCAACAACTTTTGTATTTAAGGTTATTTTCTATCTCAAACAGTTTAAGTAAAATCCATTTAAAGTCAAAACAGTTTTAAAATTAACTTTTTCCTCAGTCATATTTGCGCCTCAAATCAAGGCAGTTTCCAAAGGCAGTGAGGCATATATTCTACATAATGAAAATAAATCAATCAATAAAAAGCGGTTAAAATATATCGAACAGTGCTTAAAGTACACACTTTATTAAATTTTAGGAGTTATTGCTCATGCTATTTCTTCCAAAATATGTACGAAATAAAACCAGTAAAAAAATTGGAAATTTTCTTTTTTTTTTATTTTACCTCACTATTAGTTGTTACCATTAGCTAAACTGTTGTAAAATTTGTTGTAAAACGATGATAATTTTCGTTAAAAGTTAATACAGGCAACAGGTATAAATTACAGCAAACCTGAGTACTCACAACAATTCCCAGCAGATTTTCATCAAGATAAGATCATAACAGCTGCTCAAATATTTTGTTTTTGTTTGCATTTTTGATCATATCAAAACAAACTGTTTTTAAAATTTTTTGATTGCAATGATGTGAAGCGTCCTTTTCCTACAGTTTCTTCAAAAACTTCTAATAATGTGGTACATTTTGATGAGATTAACTTCACAGAACTGCCTGCTGCTATGAACTCAGGTTAAAAATTCAAATGTAGTATCGGTGGCACAAGAATATTAATTAATAGAATTTTTAATAGAAGAGACAGCCAAAATCAACAATAATTTCAAATCAGGAGCATGTCGAGAGAGTGAAAGAAAACATTATGACACAAAGAAAAGGTTTTTACTTTTTATGTTACTTAATGCTAGTTTAAGATAGACTATCTAATACTTTTCAATAAATTTATGAGAAAGCCAACCATACCATTGTCAAATTTGGTTTAAGGGTATAGTTATATGCGAATGGAGATAGAACAGGAATAGTATTTTTGGTAAAAACATTATGTAGGTTATTCTTAGTGTAGTTCGAATCGAAGCTACTGATAGAAGACCGTTAATTCGTCAAATGAAGAAGTTCTCCCTTAGTTTGACTTCAGTAGTCCCATGTTGTTGGCGGCTTAGATGATTAGGTCACATACAAATGGATTTGATTTAATTGTTAATAACTGTACTACATGGACAATTAATATAAAAATAGTCATTTTAGCCTGTCACAAAGTCACAACTTCAGTGGAATCATAGTAGTAAAAACCCCAAAAGTATGTCAGGTGAAGCCGATGGGCAACAGCTAGTGTAAATATATATGAATTTGAACGGAGGGTGCTTTTGGCCTCTGAGGGCCTTAAAACAAAAAGTAAATCTGTCCCGAGTCCAAGTTTTACCATGAGACCTACAGTAGTAATAGCTTATTCCCTATGGAAAATTAAAAGAATCAACGGAAGTCAATTAGATTCTCTAACTTCATCACAATAGCTTTCTCCATTCAGTTGGATTATATCTTAATGTTTCTTATTCTTAAGCCTGGTTTACACGATGCCAGTTGGTCAGACAGTTTTCTTTGCCTATTGTCATCATGTGATTGCGGGATTGTTGGAGGGCAGTTATCCTCAACCTACTCCCGGAAAGAAATGGGTTCCAGGGCAATTGGCCTGAAATGTTTACATGAAGCCAATAATTTCATGCCAGTCAATTAATTGTCTCACCTACTGGCATCGTGTGAACCTGGCTTTAACGCAGCAATATAGTTCAAGGCAGCAGATAGTTTTCATGTCAAGTATTTTACAAAGCAACGTAATATTAGTCTTTGTTTTCAAACAGGTTTAGGTCGTTGTTACTATCTTATGTCAACTATCGTCTTTAACTGATAGGCCAATGACAAATGGCATCTGGGTCCTTTAAATTTGAATGCACTATACACTTGTCTAACTAGACAATAATAATCGATGATGCACTCTCAAACCACTTTGAAAAAAAAGCCAAACAATATAGAAAATGAGACTACAGGTAATAAAATCCATATATGGATCACTACAATACACCAAGTATAAATCACAGATAAATCATAAACCTCTTCATTTTCTATTATCAACTAAACTGAATGCGTTTACTACGGGTGTAAGCGGTGAATGACAACAACAGGCAGCTACAAGCGAGACATGCGAGGTTAGTAAGATGTTACTGCCTCAGTGACGTTGGCGACACTGTTTACGTAGGACGCCACACATCCGGGTCCTCCATCAGTGTGGTGTGGTGGTCGGCCTGACTCACCACTCCGGTGGGAGAAGACGCCATGGCTGCCATGTCTTGCTGTGACCCTCTACAGGGCGAACAGGACTTAGTTTCTCACAACTATTTATTTCCAGTTAAAGTTTTATATAAACTTTATTTATAATTTTTTAAAGGGTTTGAATGTTTTAAAACATAGACATTTTTAAATGTACATAAAAAACCCTATGACAACAGGAATTGTCTGCAATGGTGCAGCCGCAACACCTGGTTTGCCCCGCTTGGCCTTAGCCATTTTCGCAGCAGCTACTGACCTTGTAAACAATTGTGGTACACAGTTGTAGATTTTGAAATAACAGTTATTAAAATATATTGTAAACAACTACTGTAAAAGATCTCTTTGAACCAAAAAATAGGTAATCTGAAACAGCTTTGCCCTCTTCATCTCAATTAATCAAGGTTTTACTGTTTACACAGTAATGAAAATAAGAAAATAACTGGTTGGCTGATGTAAATTTTAATGTTCCATTTGGCTATTTTATTTCGTCCTAGGACGCTAGGCACGAGCCCGGGATTGTTTTTCACATTACTTCAGGCTACACCTAGAGATTGCGGCATTATCACTTAGATAAAATCCATTGGTGATTTGGCGATATTTGAACCCGGGACCTCAGGCACCGAAGTCCTGCAATCTAACCACTACACCAGCTCACTCCCCATTTTGGCTATAGATAAGCACTAGATTTAAATTTTGCTTGAGAACACTGTTAAAATTAATGTGATTTGTTTATTATTATTTAATTTAGCACAATAGCTTAAATTATTGTACTTTTACGTACATTAAATTTTTTAATTGATAAAGTATTTATAATTATCAACTTTGACTTGGAAACCAATAGACTCAACTTAAAATGTGAGTAAAAAATCACATTACAGGTAACAGCATTTACAGTCAAATTTGACAGCATCAAAAATATTCAAAAATATTATATGAAAAATATTCAAGATAAGCAAACGGCAATCTTCAAATACATAGCAATTAACGGAACAAGTCCTAGAAATGGTTTTGGTATTTATATCTTAGCCTGTGCAGTTATTATTGTTGAAAAAATACCTGACATTTAACTGACTTATCATACTAATAAATAGCTCGTTTGATAATTACTATCCTCGCATTCCAAGTATGACAAATATTACAGTGAATATTTTTTTCTGATATAAATCCTGTTCACCCAGCCCCACACCATTAGGGAAGGATTAATGTGTTGTGTTAGTTGTTAGTATCACTTTAGACACACACAAGACAAATGCCAAACAAACAATAACACAGCGTATTAAATTAGTAATGTAAATTGCTAACATTGAATGGACTGTGAAATTGAATTATGAATATTTTGCTAAATCATTAATAGTTTATTAATATACAAGTTTTATTTCATTTTATGCTTTCCAGAAGGTAAATATATTCATTCCCCTTGAAAATAAGGGCATAAGTAACGAGTAGTGTTGGTATACATTGTGTTGGTATACTATACATATGTTATTTTATCTGTTTGAAAACCTTTTTCAATAATCAATGCATAGGTCAAAATTGATGCTATAGTACTGTGCTATTGATACCTTAGCACATCAATACCTTAGCTAGTCAACCTTGAACATTTGAGTAATTTGTGTAGTAAATTACAGATGGTGAATGTGTATGTATAGACACATTATGTACGACATGCAAAGCTGTACAACAGGATGACAAACTTACTTGCGACCCAGAGCCATCATCCCGTAAATAACGCCGGTTCCAAGTATCAGACCACTTCCAAACAAGCTTCCCAATCCCGGGCAGAACACAATGGCCGGAATAGCGATACTGGAAACAAAACAAGTAATTACCATTCGATATTTCAACTCCTTGTTTTACGAACATGATGCATCCAAACCAAATCTCAAATCCTCAAGAAGAAATTTGAGAATCAAATATCATATTCAGTTACACCCTTGATAACCAGTCCACCACAACCCGTGGGTTCATTTAAGGTGTTAAAAATGTAATCAAAATATGAATGAACAGTTCAATAACCAAAATTTGCTAAGTTTTCAGGAACATTTTACTTTTCTCTTACCGGTGTGATTTAAATAATTTAGTGATTTTTCAGAAAATTATAATACTGCAATCACAGGAAATGATCACACTGTTGTCGTGATTGTGTAAGATTATCTCCATGTTGCCAAGATTCTGGAATTCGCTGTAATGAAAACCAGTCATAGATTATAAAACTATTTTGTAAGTTGGGATTGTTTTCAAATAAAGTGAATCATAGATAGAATTAAATTCACATATTGCATTTTATAAAAATTGTACTAAGGGGTACAGAATTAAATTTTTTGGGACTCAGATTTTGTTCCAGCAAAATTCCTGAATTTTGCCATTATTATTTTCCACTAGTTACTTCACTCTACACCAGATCTAAAAAAATTAAAGGTATAATGATGTATCCATAAAGATCTATAAGCCTATAGGCTGTTTACTATTCTCAGGACATGATAAAAGTTATCTTGAGAGCAGTTTTTACATATATTTTCTCACATGATTCAATATTTCAGTTAATGATTGTTATTGATCAGTTTTATCTCCTATATCCTTATAATACAACCTAACCTTGATATAACAAACCTCGATATAACGTATTACTTGATATAACAAATTTTTTAAATCCACTAGAACTCTCCATAAGACACAATGAATATTTTACTTCTACATAACAAACAAACCATATCAACAACCTTGATTTAATGAATTTTTGATGATCCCGGCTAAAATAAGACAATGCAATATAGCGAATTTATCATTGTCAGAACCTCTACATAGCAATGTAACTTCTACTTAATGAATTGTCTACGTCTTTCCCTCAATATAACAAACCCCCTCCCCACATTATTGTTTTTGAAAAATCACAGTTTCTTGATAAAAAATTAAATGGAAAAGTGACGTCAACGCTTGCGCTAACATTCGCCTGATCTTTTTTACACATCTGTCCGCCGTGCGCTATGTCCCAACTGATTTCATTCACTGAGGATTGATGACGACGATATGCTTAGTAAACTTGGATTGGGAGATAAGCAACCTGACTTGTTGAATCTGTTGATGAAGAGAAACCTGAGAAAGAATAGAAGAACAAAGAGAAAATATAGCAACATCGTTGTCTTTATTAGCGAATTTCCCATATCGGGAATAAGCTATTACCGTAAGTCTCATGGTAAGACTTGCACCCGGGACAAATTTACTTTTTCATTTTGATGTCCCTAGAAGCCAAAAACACCATGCGTTCAAATTCATATAGGCCCTATATATATATATATACAGGGTGATCAACTCAAGGAGGACACCATTAGGATATCGGAAACAGTAAGAATTAGAGAAAATTTTTAATGGGGGACATTGACATTCGTTTATTTTTTGTGGCAGTTAAAAATATGAATTTAGTTTTTCGAAATTCAGCCACCATTTTCCAAAATGGCGGCTAACTTTGAAATTTATTATGGAACACTGAAATTTCTTAAGTTCTATCCAAAAACCTGATCAAATATAGGGTATTCCATAATAAATTTCTAAGTTAGCCGAATTTCAAAAAACTAAATTCATATTTTTAACTGCCACAAAAAATAAAGGAATGTCCCAAATTTAAAGTTTTCTCTAATTCTGACCGTTTCCGATATTCCAATGGTGTCCTCCTTGAGTTGATCACCCTGTATATGTGTGTCTGTTAGCACGATGACTTGAGCAAAAATGATCTGATTTTGAAGAGTTTAAAATAACAAATAATTTAGTACAATGAAGTGTTTTTGTATCGTTATTGGTTATGGAGAAAATTGTAAATAAAAAATTCCCATGTTATTGTTATAGAGAATAAGTAAACTGTTGTAGTTTGCTTGTTTATGGATATATTTACTGTTAATACTGTTCTATGAAATGTTTGGATCAAACTTGGCAGATCTATTTGTTTTATACTAAGCTATTAATGTTTTACTAAAAAACATACTTTATCACCCTCCCTGTAGGCAGCAAACCTAGGCACTCGTTAAACCTAATGTTATTTGGATGGATATAATTGAAAATCAAATCAGGCAAATGGAAATTTGCATAGTCTGTAGGTTTGTTGCAGCGGGGCGATATTATCTTTATATGATTACACACTTTTATGATGACTTATCAAATGTTTGTATTGTTTTCAATACAATTTGTTTCAACTAAGGCAACACCAATGCTATAGTTGATTACCTATTATTATTGACATTCCTCTGTTGTGATAAAGCAGTACAGTAGCCTATCGGCCTATCTTGAGCAGTAGTTTACAAAACTCTCTACTGTTTTGTTTTGTTCTTTACATGATTGTTATTTATTGCTATACAGTGTTTGGCTAGATTTGAGGTGAGTTTGAGTAAGCTGTGATTTTAAACGTTAGGCTACAGTTTGTAAACTGAACCAAGGTCCAAAGTCAATGACTCAAATTGTGAAAACCCATAAAAATTTGTTTATACTATGTTGGACAACCGTTGTTGTGTTCACTATCCGTAACCTCCCTTCACCTTAATACCCCGGATAATCAAGGTTCTACTTTACAATGCCAATACTGTACTGTAAAATATTGTAGCCAATGCTACTTAATTGTGTAAATGAGGTCAAATCTCGACCTATATTGACCAATGATGTTTCTGAACTTCGACTTTGCGAAATACCTCCAAGCCTAACCTCAATATAACAAACCTTGTTTTGACAAAATCCTTGCTATAACGAAAATGTAGTTCGGTCCCTTCAGATTCGTTATACCGAGGTTGGGCTGTACAAGAAAATAGGCAGGGTGAAAAGCATATTGTAACCAGTTTAATAAAACTCTGTTATCAGTTGACACTCACCCTCCATAAAGAACAGCTCGGTTCCAATACGGACGCTTGTCTACATAGTCACTGAGAGTCTGTACAAAGTCAATAAACATGCAGCAACATGGAGCCTCGATGACAATCACCAAGAATCCGGCAACCCTGCAAAGTCAAAATCAACAAAATAATATATAAATAATAATATTATATAATATATAAATGGATCAATTTATTTTACCACCATCACAATGAGTCAATGAAAATCTTCACTTTAGTAGCCTACTAAGTTAGATCATGTGAACCTTTCCAATGAGGAGGGACGGACAGGGCGGTTGCCAGATCCCTTGGCCTGGATAACCTTGCAGGATATTTTTTTTTCTTGAAAAATTAATTTCACCAACAAATTGTGTTTGAGGTTTCTATTTTTAAGCCTAGCTTTTATTCTTGCAATAGCCATAAGTGTTACGAAGAGTATGAGATCAAAAAAGACAATTTCGTGGGAGACGAATATGGAGTTAACATAACTGTGAAAGATGTTAAATTTCGGCAGAATCACGAGAGACAATAATGGTGTCTCCGCCATCACGGAATATTTCATGACCACGCTGCAAACAGGGAAGATGATCAATTCATGATTTCACCGTCTTCGCAAGAGATGTCGAAAATGTCTCCACGACCATGGATATGTTAACAATTTTGCCGTAACCGTGACAGACGATGATGATGTATGTTGGCACTTAGCCTCTTGCCATATATGAAGAAAGATTTGAATAAAGATCTAGAATAAAGTAACAGAAGCTGGCTTATTATACATTTTGCAGAAGACAATAAACCCCAAATCTAATTATTTATTCTTTCATTAAATCTTTTATCTAGAGGCTGTTCCAATCCAATGCAATCAAAATCATCTCTATATAAAAAAGTCAAAATATGCTACCAGCAAAATAGGAAACTTGGTAGATAAGTGGTAAAAGCCAAATAAAATAAAACGGTACTAAGAGCTCGTTAGCACAATGCTTTTATTTGCTCTTTCGATCAAGCTTAGTTTCTATTACTAAGCTCTGAAACAAATTTATAAAATTTAAATTAAAGACTACTTGATCTACTCACATTTGCCACATGCCGCCTAATAAACAATCTATGTTGCCCAAAAGTATTCCAATACAGTTCCACATGCCCAGGAAAATTGCCACTGAAAAAATCCCAGCCATTAGCCTTGAACTAAAAATATGCCAATACACTAAGTAAAATTTAATAACATTATTCTACAACAAAAATTACAAGTATAAATACATTTTTTAAAGATATTGTATTCCCGTTCTCAACAACACGACAAAATACAAGACAGGTATCCTCCAAATTAAAATTTAATTTCAATTTACGCCTAAAACTTTTAATTTTTAAGATACGGTACCGGTACGCCATTCTGTGAATCATAGGACTATCCTAGTGATTGTTGGTCTATCAAATCAATGGTTCAAACTCAAAAGACTCAACACAGCTGGTGAAACTAGTTCAAGTTCAGTGTGAAGTTTAAAGACTAAATCTATAGTATTGGTATAGGTTAATTCTGCAAGGCTTCATATATTTATGTTAGGTATTGTTAATCTGTGTCTTTATAACTGATAAAGCATTCGTGATCCGGGTTCTATTTTAGAAGAAAATCAGGACCAGGACCGTGAAGTTTTCCCAAGTTTATCTATTAGGCTACATGCGAAACTATGTCCTTGTCAATCTTGTTTTACATCTTGGTCACATAAGTTTACAACTAATGGCTGCAAGAAACTCGTCTTCGTTTGATGAACTAACCTTTATCCATAACAATTATTGTTGATAAGACTTCACATATAAACTAATTTAATTATAAAGAAGGCCTAATTTAACTTAGTTGTACAAACTTATTTGTATATACAACATAACCTAATCAAATGTATAAAATTAAAATTGATTACGTTTCAAAGTCATAAGGCATTCTGGCGTGCATTTGTAAGAAAACAAGACTGAAGAGTTGTATGTTTTAAATTCAGGTCCATAAGGGCCCAAGTAATTAGAGGTTGACTTATTTTAAGTCGGCTTAATGTTTAAACACAAGGTTCAAATATATTTTTCCCTTCCAGATAATTTGTATTTAACATTGATTGTTTTACCTAAACTGTGATAGATACTAGGCCCGACAGCATTTCAATCACTAGGCTATCTAGTTGAAATAAACAAACAAGCACTTTAACCCCTGCTTATATCCATTCCTCTCAACTCTTGATGCAAATAAACTTACTTAGCAAATTACAAAATACAGAACGAAGAGAAAAACATCAGTTGTATTGTATCTATTGAGCAAAGATTACACAAAAGAATTGATAGTTTGTGGATGTTTTAAGTACCGGTAGCCTAAATGTATTTTGAAACGATTGGAAGAATATGGTTGTAGTTTTAGGAATTGATAAGAAAGTTGCTGAGAAATAAAATAATTTGGTAATTTAGAGGGCTACACTTTAGTATCCGGTCCTACACTAATTTGAATGAAGTTTTCGATATATCGATTATTTCATTCGATAGGCCTATATCAAGTTTGTTTAGTTAGGTTAACCTAACCTATCTAACCGAATGAAATAATCGAATATTCAATATTATCGATCGATATATTCATTCGAATGAATGTAGAACAGATACTAAGTTAAAGTGCAGCCATTTAAAGTATTAGCACTGGAATTATGGGGTTTTAGATCAGAAAAATACAGACCAGAAATAGATTTGATCAGATCATAATAAAATTAAACAATAAATCGTTATAAAACTCAAACATTATGTGTGAGTAGCACTTAAACTTACAGTAATCAAAATCATAATAGTGTATCTTATTTTTGTTTAAAAGTACATAATTTTACAGACAACAACAGCAGAGTTGTTTCTTATTTCAGCGTTCAGATCTCAATGGTTTGTACTTAACAAAAATGTTTTGAGTAAATTATAAAATGTGTCTGTTTAAACGATATATTGTTTTATAACGATTACACCCAATTAACTAATACACCCAATTAACCAAGCAAGGCTCGATCCCCCGGTACTGATAAACTAATTACAATATTTGAAAGTCAACAAATCATTAAACAAACAAAAATATGAATATAGGCTACCGTACTTTACTGCAAACAATAAAATTCTTAAATTAACTTACAGTTTTAAAACGTAAGGATTATCCTTATTTCCAAGTAGGATTTATAAAAGATAAGACTTAAAAATACAATAGAAACAAATTGTAGTATATTCGTTAAAGCTTTAGAAAAAATCGGTTTGCATAAACTACCTACTTACTTCCACCACCAACAGTACCTAGACCTCTTCCAGCATATTTCATCCACCATGGAACATCATCCTTTGGCACTGGATCTTCATTTGGTCTCTGCAGTAAACTTCCAATTTTTTCAGCAAAGGACTGTAAAAAATAAGAACAGATTATTTCTTTACTGAAAATTTATTTGGAATCTTAAGCTTTTGTAAGAATCGGTCAATATGTTAGTTCCCCTCTTGCTTTAACAGATTTTACTTCCAGGTTTATGATGAATATACCAAAGATCTTACCATTGTATAATATAATGACCGGATTACTTTCTAAAGGTGAAAAAATCTTCAATATACTGAAAAACGCAGTAAAATCAACAAAGCTACAAAATATGTACGCAAAAATTGAGAACGAAGAACGAAGACACCACACACAGAGAAACAGAAGTGACACAAACTGACAAAGTGAAGTGACGTTTACGTTACATCAATTGAAAAAAATCAACTCAATAAACAGCAGTTTGTAGCAGAAGACAGGGAATTAGGCAAAGGCAAGAGAACTATTTTAAATTTTGTCCCTTCCTTGCTATATATAATTAAAGTTAAATAAGTTAATAATTAAAATGTCCAGACAGTCTTGAAAAGATTAATTAAGTTGACGGTATGCCTGTGTAAGTAGATTGGTTTGTTTGCCTCAACAGGATTGTTTTATTGTAGAGTAGAAAGCATGGTTTTGTTCTTTCTAACTTAAGTTCGAGTGTTTTTGCATGGTTTGCACTGTATGATATATGCTACTTATTTTATAATTAAGTTATTTCCACGATTGCAATGCATGTTATTTCCATGTTAAAAGCAATAAAGACATTTCATTTCGTATGCTCATATATATCATAAGTGTTCTATTTGCGTTTTAGGTTTTATATATAATTAACTTTTTTAGGGGGTTGGAAAAATTGTGACTAAATGTAATTTTTAGCCACTAACAGCTTTTGATTTGTAAAGATTTATTGATAAAATAAAACTACTTTAATTAAAAATATGGCAACTGGGGAGTTCGTCCTTAAAACACCTCATAAACAAGAATACTTCAAATGTTATCTCTGAAAATTTAATATGTACCCAAACCCCTAAAAACGATGAATGTCTTAGACTGCAGCAGAAATAAAACTTTGGGCTAACCAATACAAATAGACTCATTTATTGTAAATTTTGAAGCTAGTTCATGGCCGGTGACACTGATCGCTAGTGTTGACGAAGTTTTTCTATTATTTTAGAGTTTACTTATTTATTCATTCTTCCAATGGTAACATCATTTTTACATTCAAAATTGCATTAAATAAGTTAAATCACTTTATTAAGTGGCATGCATAAACATAGCATGATTAGGTACAAAATAATGCATAAATAAAAAAAAAATTTAAAACAAAACGTTTTTAAACGCACTAAAAAGAAGAAAATAATTTATAAATATGTGGAGAGTATAAATACTTTTAAGATTTAAAACGAAAAACGTGGGGTGCATGCAATAGATAATTTACAATTACCTTCACCTATTGAACTAATGTATTATTATCAGTTGCATGCACCCCACGTTTTTCGTTTTAAATCTTAAAAGTATATACTCTCAACATATTTATAAATTATTTTCTTCTTTTTAGTGCGTTTAAAAACGTTTTGTTTAAAAAAAAGTTTTTATTTATACATTATTTTCTACTTTTTAGTTTTTATTTGTGTGGGTGTTAAATCTATTTCAAGCATCTATATCAGATTACACAGAGGCATGTGGGAAATCTAAGGCTTATTTGAGTTTCTTTTCATATAATTATGTATTACATTAAGGTAATCATGTATTACATTATGGCAATACATTAAATGTATTGCCTACCTACTAACTATAAATATATCAATCTATTTAATTTATTGTTTACGTTATAGAATACTAAATAAATAACATTTGACATTATTAACAACACCATTATATATGTAATCAGATTGTTTATCTTTATTTTGAATCAATCGTAGTCATTTCAAATCAAATCAAATCATTTATTTGGTCATTCAATACAAGCAATGTACAATAGGCTAACATAAGCATTAATAAAACATGCACAACTTTGATACCCTTGATACACTTGACTGAGGGAAAAATATTGAAAAGGAATGGGCAGGAAAAGGCAGTAGCTTATATACATACAGTATTCATTTGTTTGTAATTATTTCGTTAAAGAAGTACTTAATCATTGGTTTCTTGCATTATGTCTCCGCGTTCTTGAGTCAAGGCCAAAGAAAAAAATACAAAAACTCGTCTGCCTCCATGGCCTGCTGATGTCAATGTTAATGTTTGCAAAATTAGAAGTAGAAGTAGAACTGAACTACAAAGTAGTAGTGTCGTAGGTTATTGGAATTTATTGAATTTACGTTATATAGTAAGTATTTAAGTAATTAGCTTCGAAGTAATATACTTGATCTTTGCATGACTTTCCTGAAGCCTTTTCTCAGTATTTTGCAAAATACCTCTGATCTACAGCGTTCTGATGATTTACTTGCGTATTTGTAAACAGTCAACAGTCCTACTTACACAGCTGTAGAGACTGCCATTAATTGGCAAGGAGCAGACATATTATCTAAAGATACAAGTTTAGCTTAAATTTCTGTTGTAAGTAAAGTAATAATGGTTTCCGTTTAAATTGCTTGACATTTATTCTTGTATGCCCTCTTTTATATTTAAAATATTTAAGATAAACCAAACTGCGTAGTTAGTTTATTTGCAGAAATCCTTTGTCTGGGGGTTCTGTTTTGGCAGTCAGCTGGAGTGAAACAAGTGCCAATTCGTTGCGACCTTGCATCATATTAAGAAATATTGCTTGTAATATAGGCTAGTTTCCATTCAAAGCAGATTTTATATAATGTTCAACGGTCACTAGAGTTCAATCTAAGAGAGGCCTTAGTTTATATAGGACTAGGCTAAGGATTGGGATTACATTAAGTTTTAGAGGTTTTAGGCATTGACCTGGAAATTTCCCAACTTTGTTTAAGCCTAGAACTAAGTTACTGCCAATGCTAAAAACTTACTGGATTGTAATAGGCCTATCAAGGAAGGATAATTATTTTAGGGTTTAAATATAATAAACTGATGAATAAATATGATAAACTCTAGACAATAAACTGATTAAGGATTAAAACTGTCACTAGACTGAACTAACTTAGTGAACCTTGTAGGCCTAGGAATTCTATCTTAAAAATTTTGACTTTGAGCTACTTTAAAAACTTGTTAAACCCCAAACTCCAGTAGGCTGCTTGTAATAATTTATAGGCAGAGGATACGCGTCTGGTACCTACTTAACCAGACATGGATTAGGCGTCCAGCAGTTACTGTCATAACCTAACAAAAACATAAACCAACCAAACTTTCTGATCCAGGTAATTATTTAATATATATCTAGGCCTACAACGCGATATCGTGTAATTTTTTGATGTCTACTTACAGTCTTTTTCTCGCTGAATCCAAAAATGCAATAAGTTTTTGTCGGAGAGATTCCTAAGTGACCGTAAAATTAGCCATAGATCTGGCAGTCATTTTATTCACCAGTGGCGGGAATATTTTGGCCCTTTTGTAGTGGTACCATATATTTTGCCACAGAACGTTTATTTGTGAATTTAAGTACTCACATATAAACTTAGGCTACATATTTTCTGTTTCAGTGATAAATGTAGAATATAATCATATAAAAATAATTGTTTTAGGCCTATAAGTTTTAGCTATACGTTTAGGCAAATTTTTGGATTATGCAAATTAGATATTTCGGCTGCACTTTACTTGACGTCCTACACTCATTCGAATGAAAATATCGATCGATATATCGATTGTTTCATTCGATATAACGTTTGGTTAGTTAGGTAAGGTTAACCTAACCTAACTAACCAAACGATATATCGAATGAAACAATCGAATGAAAATATCGAATCGAAAAAACAATCGAATGAGTGTAGGACGTCAAGTAAAGTGCAGCCGATATTTCAAAAGCAACCCACAAGAAAACCACAAAATTTTTTTTTACACATATTATATAAATGTAAAGGTTGTGTGAAATATGATTCCCTACGTGGAAGTATCAATGTTTTTTAAATAGCCTACTGATGAAAATAAAATTATACAAAAATATATTCTACATAAGGTAGGCCTACATATATTTTATTTTTAACTAGGCCTACCAAATTTCTTTTTGTCACGTAGGAAATAATGGAATGCATCAACAGAAAATAAAATGATACTGTACACTAGGAAATAAAAGATTTTTCTTAAAATATACAGGGTGATCAACTCAAGGAGGCCACCATTGGGATATCGGAAACGGTAAGAATTAGAGAAAACTTTAAATGGGGCACATTCCTTTATTTTTTGTGGTAGTTAAAAATATGATTTTATTTTTTTGAAATTCAGCCGCCATTTTCCAAAATGGCGGCCAACTTTGAAATTTCTTATGGAACACCCTATATTTTATCATGTTTTCTGATAGAACAGGCAATTTAAAAACTTTTTTATCCTTGACATTTTTTCGATAAACCCACTCGTTTAGGAGTTACAGCCTATGGAAAAATGACTTCCGGTGTACATTTTACATCATGTAGCTCCTAAACAAGTAGGTTTATAGCGAAAATTCGAAAAGTAAATAAGTCAAATAAGTCTTAAAATTGCATCCATATTCCAAAAAGATCATAAAATTCGTTAAAACTATTAATTCTATTATTTTAAAAATGGCGGCCATTTTCCAAAATGGCGGCAAACTTGAAAAGTGGAAAACTGTGTATTTTATGGTCTTTATGGAATGTGGATGCAATATTAAGACTTCTTTGACTTATTTACTCATCGCATTTTCGCTATAAACCTACTTGTTTAGGAGCTGCTACATGATGTAAAATGTACACCGGAAGTCATTTTTCCATAGGCTGTAACTCCTAAATGAGTGGGTTTATCAAAAAAATGTCAAGGATAAAAAGTTTTTAAATTGCCTGTTCTATCAGAAAACATGATAAAATATAGGGTGTTCCATAAGAAATTTCAAAGTTGGCCGCCATTTTGGAAAATGGCGGCTGAATTTCAAAAAAATAAAATCATATTTTTAACTGCCACAAAAAATAAAGGAATGTCCCCCATTTAAAGTTTTCTCTAATTCTTACCATTTACGATATCCCAATGGTGGCCTCCTTGAGTTGATCACCCTGTATAGTTATGTACAGTAGAACCTCTTTAATCTGAACCCCCGTAATCCGAACGTCCACTAATCCGAACCCCTCATTGCTGTACTCTAAACACAGTACAGCAGTTCTTTATTGTATACTGTATTTAATTTACAGTACGTTTTATTTACCATGTTTGCTACTGTATTAAGTAAACACTGTATTTTACTTTAAAACATTTTTTCACTTTCCCCAAAATAATGTTGATCAATTTTAGCCATGTTTTAGCTATTGTTATGTAAAAACAACAATATGTTCTGTAATCCGAACTATTCAATAGTCCGAACTACCCCTGGTCCCAATTAGTTTGGATTAAAGAGGTTCTACTGTAGTTGAATTCTAACATTTCTGAGTAATTTACGTCAGAATGTAAAATTTTGAAGATTTTTTTCAAAAACAATTTTTATGACATGTTTAAAACAAAATAAAATTTTTACAATCAACCTCATAGATTCAGAGGGAATTATTGGGAATTTATTGTAGTTTCAGAATATGTACTAATATTGTATATCCTACAATTTAATTGACAATCGCCAAAAACAGCTGTTTTTGTATTCAGGTGACCAAAACTTTCTACCGCCAAAATCTATTTTGAACTCTATTGTTTTTCAACCTATGTTTGTTGTTACATAATACCATTATACTCACTGATTAATGTTTTATACATGAAAATGAATCCTCAGAATCTCATCTTTCTAATGGTACCTAGGCTATAAGATTTATTACGTTTTAAAACAGTTATATTTTAATAATAAAAAAACCCGACTCATGTCGTCTTGGTCGATAATCGACCAGGGCGCCACTGAGAACTCACCATAAAACCCCCCTAAAACCCCCGTTCCCATAGTCCGATCATGCTGGTTCTCGAACTCGTTTGAATAAATGTAGGTTTACACGTTTATACCAAATTTAATCAAATTCTGATAATTTTTGTTTGAGTTATCGTGCTAATGGACAGACACATATATATATATTTACGGTAGGCCTATATATATATATATATATGAATTTGAACGGATGGTGTTTTTGCCCTCTAGGAACCTCAAAACGAAAAAGTAAATCGGTCCCAGGTCCAGGTCTTACTATGAGTACTACGGTAATAGATTATTCCCTATATGGGAAATTTGCTAAAAACAAACAAATAAACAGCTGATTTCAATGTTATTATTAGTGAAAGGTCTCATGGTAAGACTTTAATAGGTAATTAATACTTTTCTTTGAAATGGCAACCATACAAAGTAGGTATTTTAAGCCAAGTATGAATGGAGATGAGTGTATGATGAGTGGTCCGATCTTGTAGTCTAATAGTGACTAAGGCCGACATATTCCCTAGACACAGCTGTTAATTAATAGCCCATACAGCTAATGGCGACTAAGGGGCCTACAGTTTATAGTGGAATCCGAACCACTTTTTTTCCTTGGTATATACGAATTGGTCTAATTATCAGGATAGTACTGCAGATAGTTGTAGTACTCACCCGTGCGGACGTTAATCCACACCAGGGAGTATCGCATCCACAGTGCATGCCTATAAATATCCACAATTCGTGACCTCCTAGTAGCTGGATTACAGGACCTAGGCCAGGACTGATTAATTTTTCACAATTTCATTTCATTATAGCCTAATATATAATATACCTATGTGATAACCTCAGTAATTTTCGTCCGATTTTGATAAAATTTGAAACTTTTTCTTTGTGAAGTGGGTTGAAGTGGCGACAATGTAAACTTTCATAAATGAAAATGATTTATAAACAACTTAAGATTTCCATGCTGAAATTTTTTTTAGTAGGGCTATCAGGTTTTGTGTTATCTATATAAATAAAATTAGAGTTTTGTCTGTACATTGCTCAGAATCATAAATTTTTAGGTTATTTTTACGTTTTATACATTAAAGAAGCCGAAACAAGTCTCATCTAAATTTCTGTCTGTCTGTAACACTCAAGATGGCATTTTACGCAATCTTCTCCAGGAAAACGAGAGTACCTATCAAGATCCAAGTCATTTTAATGTATTCACTGGATTGGCGAGAGTGTATTTAGCCATTAAAATATGGCCTCACTACTTTGTAAATAAAATTACGGACTTTCAAAAATGAAGATTTTTGTCAAGTTTTCGTCCAATTTTTACCACATAATCATCTATGAAATAACGAACAGTTGTTCGGATCAAGATTATTTTTCTAGCT